TAGCAACGGCAGCAAAAGTTGTTGTGGGGCATGCATAACCCATCAGCTCTCCTTTTCTTTCAGCCCCCTGTCAGCCCACAAACTTAACGGTCCAAGTGGACTGTGGGACAAACAATGGGAATTTTTCCTGGGATGAAAGCAGCAGTGCAGGTTTCTACACTGTGCAGGTGACAGGGGAGCACGGCCACGTAGCATCCTGCTCCTCTAATGACACCTCCTGCGCTGTGAAACTTCACTGTGGCCGCTCGTACTCTGCGACACTGGTGGCCTCCACAGAAAGCTGCAACAGCAGCAAACACACTGATATTTATTTTGACTCGGGTAAGACAAAACATTTATACTACAAGAGCAAGTCTTAGACCTGCTTAGATCTGGAAAAAGCATGTGATCTGGTGCAAAGGGAGGAACTGTGGTCCTCTGTGAGGAAGACAGGAGTGGCATTGGAGTATGTGAGAGTGGCGCAGGAAATGAATGACAGTAAGACACCGGTGGGGTGAGATTACATCAGGGATCAGCTCTGAGCCTGTTATTTGCAATGATGAAAGTGGAAGTGGTGAAAGTCAGGCAGGGTCTGCATAGACAATGATATTTGAAGCCTAACTGTGATCTGTAGTGAGAGTATGGATCAGGGGGCGGTGCCTGGAGAGAAGAGGTTTCAATGAGATTTTCATTAGAAGTGGGATGTTGGAGGACAGGATTGGAAATATAATAGAAGAGGAGCAGCTCAGCTTCAGTTTTTGAGACATAAAGTTGGAGAGGCAATGTTGAGATGGTTGGACATGTGCAGAGGAGCGGTGGTGGATATATTTGACCGAGGATGTTAGGTATGGAGCTGTCAGGCATAAGTATAATTAAGTATAAGTATTTATTTACTCATTTATGCGCTGCTCGGATCAGCTGGTTGTGTTTGTGGCATTTAAAACACTTATTGCCAACATGGATACTATGGAGCGCCCCCTTGTGGACAAAATATCCACTGTAAACGCAACGTGTTTGAAGAATGTTTCTCTGATCTCTTCTTTTACTTTAATTTTCATGTATTGATCATTATAAATTCTGAAAATATCAGTTGATAAGCATCCCAGTTGGACTTTAAACCTGACAGTGTAATTCTTCTTCTTCTTCTTTTTTTTTTTTACAGAAGTTTATGAGAACAAATTAAGTTGGTGATACAAAAAATTCTGTTTTTAAAACCTTGAAAGGACTTGGGACCATTTTTGGTCCCGAGAACCACGAAAATATGGATTTTTGAGGTCCTTTCAAGGATTAACATTAAATTTTATTTATTTCCCAGCCTATCAAATCACCTTGGCAGCTTGTCTGTTGTATGTAGAGTATAGTATCATTATGTTTTTGACGCTCCCCTGTAGCTCCCTGCCTACCAAAAGATGTTGTGGCAGAGTTGGACTGTAACACCAACATGATGACTGTGAGCTGGTCTCAGACTCCGGGCTCAGATAACTACACCGCCTGGGCCATCAGCAGCACAGATGATCACAGAGCTTCCTGTAACTCGACATCCGACTCCTGCTCCATCCGTGACCTGCAGTGTGGAAAAGTCTACCAGGTGGTTGTCACCTCCTCTTCTGTTCACTGCAACGTCATTGCTGGCTCTGACTACAAGGTTCAGTCAGGTGAGTGCAGGTCTTTTAAATCCAAGACGTTTAGCAAAACATAATTTGTTATATGTTGAGTAAACCTGCTTCTTCTCCCCCCCAAACCACTTTTAGCTCCATGTAAACCTGAGAACACGACTATTGACCAAAACTGCAGCTCGAGCGTCATTACAGTAAAGTGGAACCAAGGTGACATAAAACAGAATTACACTGTTAAGGCTACGTCTGCCTCAGGTGTGAACGCCGCCTGTGGCTCCACCCAGAGCAGCTGTTCCTTCCTGGACCTGAGCTGTGGTCAACTCTACACTTTCACAGTGATGGGACACACAAATGTTTGTATAAGCGAGTGGAGCACTCCTATAGAGAAGCTCACAGGTACACACGCTATGTACATCTTTCAAAAATCAGTTACATTTAGGGAAATATACTTGGTCTCTTCTTAATTACACTACAATAAGAAGATATTTGTGTTTATTTTATTAATTTGAAGCTAAATGCTAACAGCACATTCATTTAGCTTGTTACTAACATCATAGACTGGCACATAGTGCAGGTGTTACTGCAAGAGACAGTCTATAAACCCATGATGTTACATTAAAGCCCTGCAGATTGTATATGGATTAAATAGCATATAAACCTGTGGTTTAATCTCAAACTATCACTTAAATTTTACCATTCATTTCCTCATTTTCTATATCTGCCTCCAAGTTGTGCTTCTCTCTATTTCTAGGCCCATGCCCTCCTACCAATGTGTCAGCTGAGCTAAATTGTACTACCTTTAAAGCTCTGGTCACTTGGAGTAATACTGCAGCAAACACGGGATACATGGTCCAGGCCACGTCTGCTAACGGACACAGCTCCAACTGCAGTGACTTGGGCACATCGTGTCATCTTAACAGCCTGGTTTGTGGACAGGAATACTCTGTTGTTGTGGAAGCAGTGGACCCCGGATGTACTGGTCCTTCCAGTGTCCCCACCACCATCACAACAGGTGAGTGTACAGTAGCTTTTAACACAGAGGGAGTTTTTTACTTTCAAAAATTCTAACTTTTATAATGTTTCCTCCCTCCAGAGCCCTGTGTTCCTATGAATGTCAACTTTCACTATAACGTGAGTGCTGCCCAGGTGCAGTGGAGTGCAGGGAGCGGTGCAAGCTCATACTCTGTCCGAGCTGTGACACAGCAAGGCCTGAGTTTAACCTGTAACACCATAAACACTGACTGTGTTCTGACTGGTTTACAATGCAGTCAGACCTACAGCATCACTGTGACGGCTAAAAACCAGGCCTGTGACAGTCAGATCTCTGACGCCTCCCTCCTCATGACAGGTTAGTAGTCAAATCAGGAAGGAACATGTGTACACGTATGTACATGTGTGCATTTTAATAACTAAATGTGTTTGTTTTCCCTTAATTCAGAACCCTGCCCACCCACAAACATTCAAGCCAATGTGTCTTGTGGGCAACCCACTGCAACGGTGTCCTGGCAGCAGAGTGGCCTTGCTGCAGGTTATGTTGCCTACTTCGACAGCCAGCGTGGACACGACACTTTCTGTGTTGGCACAGACACGGATACAAGTTGTGTCGTCTCAGGGCTGATGTGTGGCACGGTGTACAACGTCTGGGTCAAAGCCCTGGGACATCAGTACAACAGCTCTGACAGCATAGTGGTCCCTCTAACATCAGGTAATGAAAACCCCACACAACGTGGCATCAAACTACTCATTACTGATCAATTCAATATTAGCTATTCTTTCTGTGTTGTCACAAGTAGTGAAGCATCTTACTAAGTGGTCTCTTAATAGTGAAGTTCCTCATTACCTATGGATTATTTTAATTTCAAGATTATTAATATAGCCTCAAATCACAACAGCAGCCTTAAGTTACATGCTTTATACTGTGATGTAAAGACCCCACAATAATACAGAGCAAATAACAACAAGCAAATAAAACCCTATAAGTTAGCACTTTGGTGACAGTGGGAAGGAAAAATCCCTTTTAGTAGGAAGAAACCTCCAGCAGAACCAGGCTCATCATCGGGGGCCATCTGCCACAACTTTGGGGGTGTGGGGAGGAAGACAGAACAAAGACATGCCGGGAAGAGAGCCAAAAATCAATAACAGCTATATAAACAGATAGATTCTTTATGTCTTTAGTGAATAATTATCTTGTATAAATTATTAGGGAAGCTATTAAGAAACTGCTGATGAAAATCTCATTAACTACCAGCTCGTTCATGACTCATCACTTGTTCTTTAGTAACTAAGTTTTTGTGTCCCTTGTTGTAAAGAGTTACCATACTTGATATTATTCTTGATCCCACAGGACCTTGTGAGCCAAGCAATATTGAAGTGATTTACGACTGTGGGGGCAGCTCTGCCAACATATGGTGGCAGCCCAGCGATGGAGCTGTGCTCTACATTACTGTGCTCACAGCTTCTTCAGGGCACACAGCCAGCTGCACCACCAACCAAACCAGCTGTCAGCCGAGGCCTCTGCGATGCGGAGAGGAATACAACGTCACTGTGAAGGCTGTAGGAGAGACTTGTAACAGCAGTTCTCAGATGACAGGATACCTCACCACAGGTGCTCGTTTCAGCCAAACCTTTTGTCTCATTTATATCACAGTTCAGACCGTTTAACTTGTTCTCCCTCCAGAGCCCTGCGTTCCTACAAATGTGTCCATCCACTACAACTTGAGTACTGCCCGGGTGATGTGGAACACAGCGAGAGGTGCTGCGTCGTACTCTGTTCAGGCTGTGAGTGACCGTAACTTGACAGTCGCCTGTAACACCAGCAACACACACTGCTCCCTGACTGCTCTGCAGTGCAGCCACACCTACAGCATCACTGTGATGACACAAAGCCTGGCATGCAACAACACTGTGAGCTCTGCACCCTACCGCCTCGTGACAGGTTTGTCAATCCATCAGAAGTGATGCACAGGTTGTGTTTCCAGAGTGAGCGTTTAAATGCGACCCTTTTCTCTTCATTCAGAGCCGTGTCCACCTACTAATGTTCAAGCCAGCATGTCATGCAGACAGCTTACTTCAACTGCATCCTGGCAGCAGAGTGACCTCGCTTTGGGTTATGTTGCCTACTTTGACAACCAAAATGGCCACTACACCTCCTGTATGAGCACAAACACCTCCTGTGTGGTCTCAGGGCTGATGTGTGGTACAGTGTACAGTGTCTGGGTCAAGGCGTTAGGACAGCAGTACAACAGCTCTGACAGCTCAGTGGTCTCGCTTACATCAGGTAAAGAAACACTCAGCATATATATCTGATGTTTTTTTTTTCATTTGGGAACCTTGATTTATTTATATTTTTATATATATATATTTATATATATTTATATTTCCTCAGCCCCATGCCTGCCCAGAGACATGACAGTGGAAGTCAACTGCACCTCTGACAATGCTGTCCTGGTGTCCTGGAACGGCACTTATGGCACAACTAACATTTCCCTGATGGCTGTCGTTGGTGGAAGTCTTCAAACTCTGTGCACAACTCAGCAGGAAAGCTGTAACATGACAAGTTTAAGCTGTGGGGAAACCTACAGTCTCAGCATCAACGCCAGCAACGACCAGTGCAGCCTCAGCACACAGACACTGTCTAACTTTACCACACGTGAGTGAGCTTTTACAGGTAATGTGCATGCATGGCTGCTGCTGATTTCATTTGCTCACAATAAAACAAACATAAACATCTTCCTCAGGTCCTTGTCCTCCTCAGAGAGTAGCTGTCAATCTGCAGTGCAGCTCCCGTACTGCTGTCCTATCCTGGGAAGAGAGGTCTAATGTTGAACTGTACACAGCGAGCGCCATCAAGGCGTCAGGAGGGGAAGAGAAAACGTGTGACTCAGTGACCTCCAGCTGTCAGTTCTCGGGTCTGGACTGTGGAGAGATGTATAACTTTACTGTTACAGGCCACAACAGAGGCTGCTGTAGCCAACCCAGCAGTGCTGTGTTCATCCACACAGGTACTCCTGAGACCAAACTGTAAAGTACAGAAAATCCCTTGTTTCAGCTACACAACAGTGGAGATTCTCACTGAAACTGTTCCCATTGTAAATATATGATATATTTTATTTTACATTTGAATATATATTTTAAATATAAAACAAGTAATGATCTTATAAAACCGCATGCATAGCAGGCTCAATAATGTAGCAATAAGTAGGAAAGAAGAAATGGGATTTCCTCCAAACATGTCAATCTTAAGGCATCAACAGCAGTAAAACAGTCATAGAACATTTTTACATAATAAGACTCTAAAGGGTCGATTTTGATACTTAAAGTTCATTTTAGAGTTGAAGATATTTATTTCTCTAATCACGTAAAAATAAGTTGGGGAATAAAAACTGTATTTTTATATCTTACAACCCTCTTTACAAAAAGTTTAGAGGCTTACATGTAAAAACAGGATGCAGGGATACACAGTCCCTTTAAATCAGACGCTGAAGTTTAAAGTAAGAAATATTTACAGATTAATCGGACATCTTTACTGGCAGAGTTATTACTTTTGCATTCGTTTTTTGTCTAATTCGTTTTTATTTTAATTTCATTTTGACCTTCAGATGAGTTTCAGTTATTTTCCAGAGTGGGTTTGCTTGTTTGCGTATTTATATCTGTGTTGATCTTTTTAAACATTTAGATGGAGGACATAAGTGAGAGGCAAGATTTGGCACATGTATTACAATAAAAACACAGAATGTTTTAAAGGCAGTTGACTCACAGTCTTGGGAGTCAACCAAAGTGCCAGTAAACATGTCCACCAAAGCCTCATTGGGCAAGTTGCCATAACAGCTTTTACTAAATTAACAAAGCCTAAAGCTAAGAATTTCCTCTATATTTTTAATGTTTTTTCTTTCTAAAGTCTAGCTTTTATTTTGTTTTAATTAACTAAACCTAGTTTTCATCAACTATGATGTAAAAGATGAAGATCTGAACTCTTTTCTCTCTTTTTACAGAGCCATGTCCACCTACAAATGTTTCTGCTGAGGTGCTCTGTGAGTCCGATGAGGTGAAGATCTCCTGGCAAGAGGCGAGTGGTGCTGAGAGTTTCTTAGTTACAGTGAGCGGCAGCGATGGATTTGTGAAGACTTACAGCACAAACCAAACGCTTCTAAGAGCCTCTTTGCTATGTGGACAGGACTTTAATGTCACTGTTCGAGGACAGGGCAGCATGTGTAATGGCATCCCCAGCAGTCCCACCTTCTTCAAAACTGGTGGGACTTTTTCTACATCATATGCAAATTATTTTAACGTTTATGTTTTGACTGTTTTGTTTTGTTTTCCTTTTTGGGACACAGCTCCATGTATACCAAGGGGTTTGGCAACTGACGCAGAGTGTGGGTTTGACGTGGGCTCCGTCAGCTGGCAGCCAACTGATGGAGCTGAAACATACATTGCTGTAGCCACTGGCCTCGACGGCCACACTCACCGCTGCATAAGCAATACCGCCTCCTGCACCTGGAGCGATCTGCACTGTGGGGAGGAGTACAGTGTTGTAGTGAGAGCAAAGAGCAACAACTGCACCAGTCTGCCGAGCAACAGCTCAATCATCCACATGGGTATGATATTGACGAATGAAAACAAAGTGAAATGAAGTCAGAATACATCATCTGATGTCTGTAATTGTTCAGCAGTTTCTACAGTTTTTCTTAGAAATTTGCACAAGTAAAAGAAACATTATCAGATCATTGTTTCTTTCCAGACCCCTGTGCTCCCCAGAATTTGTCTGCCACTGTGAACTGTGATATGAAAGTGGTGTCTCTGAGCTGGGATGCCAGCAGTGGGGCAAAGATGTACACGGTTTCCGCTGAGGCGGGAAACAAGTCAGTCAGTCTCAACACTAACATGACCACAGCCAGCTTCACTGGATTTACCTGCGGACAAAAATACAGCATCAAAATCACACCTCACAGTTGGCACTGTCCTGGAAACTCGAGCGCTTCAGTCTCTGTGCAGACCTGTGCGTACTGTTCAGATACACAGTTTTGACCAACCACACATAATGGAGAAGTGAGCTCTAATCTGAGTTTATATGTTTTTATACCAGGGCCATGCAAACCCATTGGAGTCTCCGCCAGCCAGGACTGTCTTACTAGTATTGCTGTGGTAACCTGGCAGCCTAGTAATGGGTCAGATGTCTACACAGCCACCATGCAGACTGACACTGGCGTGTCAAAAATGTGCATGTCAGCCACTAATCAGTGCAGCTTCCTTAACCTGATGTGTGGACAGAACTTCTCTGTCTCCGTCACAGCTTCCAACCAGCAGTGTGACGTCACCTCCGGTCCAGCCACAAGTCTGCAATCAGGTGAGGATTGCATGGCTACTAGAGCAGGAAACGCAGGCTTTCAATGCTATATTTAAACTTCATTTCTTAATTCTGTTTTCATATTTGAAAGGATTTTTTTTTCTCTGTTAGAATTTAAAGGTGAGGAAAGTGACATGTTTTTGTGGTCACTGGGCAAACAAACCTTTCTGAGACTCCCACTTTTCCTCTGCTGGTCTCCAAGCATCTAGTCAGTGCTGGGAGGCTGTCCAATCATAGGAAGCCTGAACAATGAAAAAGTGTGACAATGTCTAGTTATGGTGTGAGGGGATGGACACAAGCTTTATTATTTCTACAGTCTGTGCTTTTAAATATGTAAAGTCAGCATAGTTAAGGTGTTGTGTAGCAGTAGTAATCATTTTGCTGTATACTGAGGTTTTTGCTCATGATGCTCTCCACACTGAGTGACTGATCCTGTTTGTTGTGTCTGCTTTATCTTCAGTACCTTGTGTTCCCACTGACGTCTCAGTGGTGATGGATTGTGCTAACAACACTGCTGTTGTGTCCTGGGCTTCCAGTCAGGGTGCTGTAAAGTACTCAGTCATGGCCCACAGTGGCCATGTTAATAATGACAGCTGTCAGACCGCTGGCCTTAGCTGTAGCCTCAACAACCTCACCTGTGGCAGCCTCTACACCGTTCACGTTGTAGCTATGGGTGACAGCTGCTCTAGCGTCCCCAGCTGGCCTCTGAAATTCAACTCAAGTAAGAGAAACAACACCAGTGACCAGAGCCCAAAGCACTTTTAAAATATGAATTTTGTGCAGGCGATCAAATGTTTGCAATTTAAAGCTTTCAGCTGTGTATTCAAACTGTTGTCATGTTTTCAGTCCCCTGCCCGCCTCAGAACGTGAGCACCCAGGTCGACTGTTCGTCAAACGATCTGACAGTTTCTTGGGACGCCATCGGAGATGCTGACCACTTCTTGGTTTCACTAGCTGCTGAGAATGGCGAAAGCGAGTTATGCAACACCACAAACACTGTATGTTTCAGCAGCAATGCCACATGTGGAAAATCCTTCACAGTCCAGGTGACCTCTGTCAGAGAACACTGCCGCAGCGTGCACAGTCAGACCCAGAGCATCCAGTCAGGTTAGACAACTTCAGTTCAGTTCAATATTTCTAAAGCGCCAAATGACAATAGTCACCTCGAGGCACTTTATATATATAGTGGCCCCCCAGCAGCTTAGGTCTAATAACTAAGGGAGGATTCAGGGCCACCTGATCCAGCCCTAACTATATGCTTTACCAGAAAGGAAAGTTTTAAGCCTAATATTAAACAGACAGGGTGTCTGTCTCCTAAATCCAGGCTCTGCCTCTCATTTTACTTCTAAATACTCTAGGAACCTGCAGTCTGAGAGCGAAGTGCTCTGTGGAACTATAAGGTCTTCAAAATAAGATGGAGCCTAATTATTCAAGATCTTGTATAAGAGGAGAAGGATTTTAAATTCAAGCTTCAAAGAAAAGAAAAAAACACTTGACAAACTACGCTGGCTTGCATGGATCCTTCCAACCAATCACCAAATCAACTTTATGTGTTTTAGCTCCCTGCCAGCCCCAGGGGATCATGGGCAGCGTTGACTGTGTGACCAACTCTGCCTGGATATCATGGCTTGATGCTCCCGGGGCAGACAGCTACACTGTGTCCGGTGTAGCTGTAGGTAGAAATGACTACAGGGCCAACTGCACCACCTTTACCAACGTGACGTGTGAGATGAAAGACCTGGCCTGTGGTGTGCTTTACAACTTCAGCGTATTGGCCAAAAACAGCGAGTGTGAGAGTCAGCCCAGTGCCCCCATCAGTTTGGAAACAGGTACTTCAGTAAGAGCTGTGTTTTCTCATTTCAGTTAATTACTCGTGCCACAGTATGAACTTATCAACATCTGCTTCATTCTCAGCCCCCTGCTCCCTCTCTGCTATCACTGCTGTCCCCCAGTGTCACAACTCCTCCATCCTTGTTATGTGGGATCTCATGGAGGGTAGTGAGAGAAACACTGTGTACACTGCTGCAGCAGAAGCCAGTGATTACACGTTGTTGACCTGCAATAACACCGGCACCAGCTGCTCCCTCCAGGAAGCACAGTGTGGCCTTCAGTACACCATCAGCGTAGCTGCTTCATCGGACGCCTGCAGCAGTATGAGAAGTCCTCCCTCCAAAGTTAGCATGGGTACGTCTTCATGTTTATTTTCTGTCAAAAAGTGCATCAAGTTTGGAAGTTCTAAGTTAACAGATGTGCAGCTTACCTCAGCTTAAAGACTGGAAGTAGACAAGTATTTTTTAAATAAATTAGCAAGAAAACCCCCCCCAACAAAGTGGTTTAGTAATACAGCCAAAATCACAGCTTAAATACAGCAGATACAGATAATTAAAAGCTACTAAATCTAAGTAACTAAAAACCCATCACCTGGCCTTTGTGTATTTGTGTTGACTCGTCTTTTTCCACAGAGCCCTGTCCACCCACAGACGTGAGTGTGAACGCTGCCTGTGAGCATCACATGGCGGTGGTGTCCTGGACTCCGTCTCCAGGTGCTGAAACCTACCACGTTGTCGCTGAGGCTGCAGATGGACACACGCACACCTGCAACACAAGCTCCACAAACTGCAGCTTATCAGAGCTCCACTGTGATGAGCAGTACACTGTGTTTGTGACAGCTGGCCATGAGAACTGCTCCAGCAAAGCCAGTCAGAATGTAACACTGAACACAGGTATTTGTTTTTGGACTTGTATGATATTAGTACCAAAAATGACTGAAGAATATAACTAATATTAGCACTCTAAGACTTACACCATCTTAATTGCTCCTTTTACCCAGGTCCTTGCCAGCCAAGTGGACTCTCAGTTACGTACCAGTGTAGCAATCAGTCCGCGACGCTGACGTGGACTCCCAGTGGACCAGCTAAAGACTACTACGGCTGTGCTCAGGCTGGAAATGAAGACATGCTTTACTGTCACAGCACAAACCCCAGCTGTGTTATCAATGGCCTCGACTGCGGAACTGTTTACGATTTCTCTGTCCAGGCCTCAGACGGGACATGCAACAGCTCCTTCAGTGATCCTGTGCAGATTGAAGCAGGTAAAAAAGGAGCTTCATACTTGTCAAACCCTGAGTAACTTTTCACATTACTGTTACTGACTCCTCCTCTCTTAGTTCCCTGTCCACCAGCTATTGCTGAGGTGCAGCTTTTCCCAATGCAGGACGAGATCGAGGTGATGCGTTTCAGCTGGAAACAGATTACCTGTGGCGACACCGGTTACATGCTCACTTTGAAAGGAAGTCTGCTGGGAGACAGCCAGGCCCTGTTCGAGCTTTCTTCCTATTGGACAAATGTGACATACTTTGAGTTTCCTCTCGTCTGCAGTTCGAATTACAGCGCCACAATGAAGAGCAGGAATGCTGCAGGCATGAGCGACACATCCATGCCTGTTTATGGAACAACAGGTAGATTACACCCCAGATTTGAGCTGTTGTTCACTGCAGTTACACAGGTGCTTCATGTGTCCTCACAAAATCTGGTGTAACTAGTAATCATATGAGCTATTTGTATTTTTTTTCTTTCTTTTTAAATAAAAAAATGAATGAACTTCTCTCTCTCAGCTCCTTGTCCACCATCGGGTGTGGTGTACACTGGAAACAGCTCCTTTGCCACAGTTTCGTGGAACGCCTCAGTGTTTGCCGTCAACTACACGGTGTATGACAACAGCATAACGCCAAAGGTCCAGCTGTGCAGCACTGCACAGCTGTCCTGCTCTCTGTCCAACATCGCTTCCAGCGATCTCGCGATCACCGCCAGCAATGCCGCTGGAGAAAGTGAAGCAATAAATGTCACAAAAAGTACGGTTCAGTAGCTTTGTGGTGACAATTAAGACAAGTTTAAAAATGAATAATTAAGATCTAAACTGATCTTCTGTCTTTAGTGGTGACGCACGCACGCAGGAGAAGAGATCTCCAAGAACAGATGTCACTGAATGGTGAGTTTACATTCATTGGATTTTATTCTATTTAGTTTTGATTTTAGAGCTTTATAAGAATTAACTTCCACGTCTACCAGCTTCATCACACTCTGAAGTTCTAAGTCCTCCGGGACTCTGTTCAGAACTTTTTTTCCCTCTCTCCATCAGGAAGCATCTCAGCTCCCGTGTTGGATGTCACGCACATAACATCAACAGTCATTTCCATCACATGGTCTAAGGTGGAGGGTGCTTCTTATTACAGCCTGCTGGTTATAAAGCAAAGCAGGTCCCACGAGCACCAGCAGCTGACGGTGTACGGGGAGAGCATCATGCTCACTGATATGAGACCAAACGCCACCTACTGCATCTCTGTGCTGGCCATTTACGCAGACGCTAGTGGGCCAGAGTCTGAGCCCGTATGTGTGCGGACAGAGAGCGGGCTTCCACAGTAAACAGAAAAGCCACTTCTGAGGCCTCCACACCTCTCCTTTTAAAAATGGTTCCACTTTTAGATGCCAAATCCTTAACACACAATACACAAGCACATTAGATTGTGGGAATTAATGTGGGTTGCTCTGCTCGTGTACCATGAGATGCATTCAGCATTAGCCTCACCACTGATAATAAAGTAGTTGTCTTTAGAATAAAAGGCTCTGTCCTCCAGTTCATGCTTATATTAAAAACTCTTTATAAAGATGGGTTTATGTCTACTGCTGGTTGAAGTTGCATGTTCCTCCTGCTTTTTTAATTCTCATTTTGTAAATTATCATCATTGCTAAATGTGTATTTAACATGCAAATAATTTTCAGACTACATTCTAATAAAATAATGAAAATATTTTCTTTCAGCTTCTTTATGTGTACGTGTGAGTTGTACAAACGACCCGTTGCTTTTTTCTTCTTCTTTTTTTTAAAAGTGTTTTATTAGAAAACAAAATGCAACAGAGCAATAACCGAAACACAACACAAGCAGGGCTCAAGTGTGTTTTGTAAAAATTACCCTTTGCGGACCGCATTTGAGAGGATTAAAACGCTCTCAGGACGTCTACACGTGATCACGGACAGAACTGTTCTGCTTTAGCTGAGCCACATGGCCTTCATGTTAAGTGTTGAACTTCAACCATTTGTGTACAGAGGCATATCAGACAAATTTTAAGAGTAACCACATGTGGTCTTTTGCACAGGCTGAAAGTAATTACAGTCATTTTTCATGAATCGTGTAATCTACATGGCGATAGTATAGCACTGAAGGCATCCGGCCCAGCAGGAAGTCCAACTCTGCTCGTGTGCATCGTGTAGACAGCCTTGGAAATTATGTACAAACCCCCATCTTTCTGGGACAACAAAACAAATCAAAACAAAAAATAGAAAATTAAAATGCCTTTTTTTTCCACTTTCCAGAATTCAAGTGAAGACTAACGATGGTCTAATGGGGAGTGAAATAGCGGAAAAACATAAAGCAACATCAGCCATAGACAACAAATCCAAATGTCCGATGTGCAACTGTTCCTTCTTTTTAGCACAAGTGACAGAGCAGACAGCCGAATATAGAAAAAGAGGAGGAAAAACACAAGTAACATTGCTGCAAGGCAGCATTTACTCGATGCTCGGACTGCTTCTATGTCTACTATGGTCATTGCTGGACTCTCGCTGATGGTGGCTCCTCTCTTTGCTGCGACTGCGTTTGTGAGAGCGCTGTTCTCCATCTCTCTCCCTGTCCCTCTCCCTGCTGTGGCTGCGCTCCCGTTTCCTGCTCTTCTCCTCTGCCCCACTTTTGTGTCTCCTCTCTCTGCTTCGACTCCGGCTGGACCTTTTGGCCTTCCTCTCGTCCCTGTGCCTTTCCCTATCGTCCTTGTGCCTGCGGTCGTCAGTCTCTCCCCTGCTCTTCTTATCCCTGGATCTCTCCCTCTCAGTGCCTCTGTCTTTATGGTGATCCCTGTCCTTCCTCCTGCTCCTGTCATCCCCGCCGTCCCTTTCCTTCTCCTTGCGCTCGCTCCTACGGTCCCGGCTACCGCTGCGGCTTCTCTTGCGCTCTCGGTTTCTGTCCGCGCTACGGGAGCGTCGCCTTTCCCTGTCCCCTCTGTCCCCCCTCTCCCTGTCTCGGTCCCTGCCTTCCCTCTCCTTCCTCTGCCGGTCACGCTCTCTCTCCAGCTCTCGATCAAAGCTGGGCCCGTGGCGCTCTCTCTCGCGATGGTGGCTCCTGCTCCTGGACCGTTTGGGCGACCTACGGGGGCTCGGTGTCCGCCTGGGTGTCCTGGAAACAGCGACAGAATCATCTTAGAACAATTTACTTCAAAAACAAAACCACACGAGCACAATTCCAAACTCTTACGTTTTAACATTTAACTGACACACAACTTTTTTTTTTTTTTAAAAAGACTGTGGTATTTTTAGTCATGGCAGAGTTCAGATATTTGAAACTGATATACAGATGAGGATGTTTTATATGCAGAACACGTAGCCTTATTTATAGTGCAGTGTCTGTTTCCATGGGCATGTTAGCATTAGCAAAGGCTGATGTCACCGACAGTAGTGGTAAGCAAAGTTATCTGAGATGGTGAGATCATTATGGGGTGTCAGAGGAGACCTCCCCATTTCCCAGTACACATATTTTGCTTGGACCCCAGCAAAATACCCTCCACATACCGTATACATATTCTTAAGATTTAAATAATATGACCTATTCTAACTTTATTGTGCATATCGGATTTTTTTTTTGGCAACATGGATTCTTTAAAACACACAACACACACTGTTCTGGCAAGTCAGACACACACAAGGAGAGACTAAATCTAAATGCTCCACTAAATATCAAAGGAGCTCCTTCAGTCCTGTGGCAGTTCAGTTATGCAATCCTTCTTTCTTCTAAATCCGCAATTTATTTATATCTGATGTGTCCATTCAGACTACAAATATACCATGAACATCTTTAATACCTATCCCTTGGTTTTTTCATAACCCAATAATGTCCCTTTATTGTTGATTATGCACATGCATGACTGGTCTATACAAAGTTAAAGGTAAGAGACTGTTCTACCTGTTTAACAGAGGTTTGCACGTTTTCTGTTACTTTTAGCCATTTAATTAACAAACGTGTGTCTCGTGTATTTTGAGCTTATATAACATTTCATGATCAAAGTCCTTGTGGAAAGCAAAAACCTCCTTTGTGAACATTACAATTTTTATATGTAGTTAATTTTGACAATTTATACCGTTAAAATGCTTTTATTAGTAATTGGCATTAAAGAGAGAAATAATAAGAAAGACCTTTTCTTTTTCTTTAGTTATAAAAAAAAAAAAAACAACCTAAGAGGCAGAAAAATAAGTTAACATGAAAACAAGTCAACAGCTCACACACTGCAGGACTCAAATCTGTCCCGTTTATTGCTCCATGAAAGCTATAACCTGCCGAGAAGTCTACAGCTCAGTAGAAACACTCAGTTTGAATCACTGCCGTTACCTGGAGCGCCGGCGTTCTCCTTGCCTTCCCGACTCTGCAAACCCGTCCTCGTCCTCTTGCGTCTCCTTCTGAGGTACCTTCCGTGGCCTTGCCTTTATTTGCTGGTCAATAACTTTTTGCACAGGCACTGGGATACGGGGGAACAGTGTGGAAAACCACTCCAGTTTGGTCAGGAAGGAGCGCAGCATCTCTCCAATGGTCATCACACAACCACCTCCTGCTTTTACGTCGAGCTCCTAAAACCAAATGGTGGGGGGAAATAAAGCAAGAAAAAGAAAAAAAACTCAGTTAGCACACAAATTTAGTACATTGACAAATATATATATTTTTTCCAATCTTGCCTCACATCGAAAAGCAATTTGTGATGACCAAGCACTGAACCTTCACCTCTGTTCATCTAGCTTAATCTCTCATCAAAGACCAAAAACCAATCAAATGTGCCTGGCCTTACTTATTAATAGTGGAAACACAGCTCTGAATATCTTAAAAGTCTGGTCTCACCTAACCTGTCTGTTATTTCCTTGTGTCTGTATTTACAGAGTGAGCTTTAATTATGCAGCAAAAGTCACTCCATTTATACGACGCAATGCCCATCCTTCATATCCTTGACAGCATCTTCAAAAAAGTGCTAATGTTTAACTATAAACTATAACTTTAACTTAAATATGAAGGAAAGAAAGAGTGAAACATTGGGGCACACTGTCATTGTGCTAAAGGGAAAAAAGAGAAAGAAGCTTTAGCTTCCTTCTTCAATCTCCCAAAAGCATAATGAACGCTCAAAGAGAATAAAAATTGCCCACAGTGTAAGCACAGATTGGAGCAGGTAGGTAAGTGCACACCATTTGAATAGTTATCAATTTTATATGGTAGAGAACAGCCACTTTGCACTCACGCAAACCAACAGTGCTGAGATACAATATCCAATTCACCTGCTGCACAATGGGCATCTAAAGAAAAAAACAGGGGAATTAACCAGTTGGGTAGAATTTCAGAATTATTCAATTCAAATATAATGCAAAAGAACATCAGAGGAGGCCTGGTTGCACAGCCTGGGATAAAATTAGATTTCACCTAAATATGAAAATAATTAACGTAAGCAAATATTTTACATGCATTAAATAACACAGTGTTTATTTCTTGCCAGTGTTCCAATTGCGGTTTATCCCAAATGTAGTTTTGTGCAACAAGTCCTTACAAAAGCTTGTCAGAAAACAGAGGGCATGCCTTAAAATTACAGTGACTAAAAGATTTACTCGGCATCACGTGTGGTACTTACCCCGATAAAAATCAGCAGCAGAGCAGTGAGCAAAAGTAACCTAGCTACTCAGGTTTAGAGGACAAAAACTGGGGACAATTAAGCCAAATGAAGGCAAAGGTGAAAAATCAGCTATGAGCATCACAAGGGGGTGGGTGGGGGAGTACAGCTTTTTATGAGTGACGTTCAACTGTGCATTTCAAGGAGAAGGAGAAAGAAACATGAAATTATTACCCGAGGTGACATACCTCCTCATCATCCAGGAAGCCGTCATACCATTCAAACAAATCTGTTGGGGGCTGAGTGTATCTGAGACAGGAAAGGGAGCACAAGCACAGAAGTTTATCGTTTTGAGCTAATCTTTTACAGGAGCAACATGCTTTACACATTTGAGGTAATTATTTAAACAAAACATTGCCTAGTCATATTGCTTCACTAAGTTATTTTAAAATTTAATTAAGATTTTAATTACTAATGCTCATGAT